GCGCAAGCACACCTTCCAGAACAATACACAACTGCAGAGCATGCTTCACGAAACACCACTTACCCTTCCATGCACAGCACACTCTGATAGTTTTATCCTTTTGTGTTTGTTTTTGTAAAATAAAAAAAAAAGAAATGTGGTTGTACTTCATTATATTGATTTGAATACCAACCCAAGAGGACCATCCAGTATCCTGTAAAAAACTTTTTACAGGGGTGCTCTGACTCTGTTTCTGAACACAGACAGAATCACACTGTTCTGGTGCTTTTATTTCAATTAAAACACCAAATTTTTGGTCTTTAAAAAAATCCCAATTGTCTTCAAACAACACAATCTATTTTGAAGAAGACACAGAGTTTTAGCTCACTTATCTTTATTTTACTTAAAAAAATGAAATCTCTCCTGGGCAAAGAGATGTAACTCTGGAAGTCTCATAGTGATATATACACAATGAGATGATTCTTTAGTAGACTGTGTTAGCATTAGTTAGAGAGAAAACGACAACCCTAAATGTGGTCGACTTTCCACCAGCAATATCACACAGTATTAAAAATCAGAAAACAGGAGCACATACTCCTAGTAATGCAATGAATTTATTATGCTAAACTTAATAAATCATATTTCATAACAAAGTCATTTTTCTCTTAAACTAACATAGATGGACGATAATTACAAATATAGCAGATCTATAATACGGTATTTTCAACTACTGAAAGAGAAAACACTCCATTTTCATTAAGTGATCTATGTAACCAACAAGTAAGCACTAAGTTCAAAGAGTATCTCCTTTATTCTCATTAAATGTTTGCAAACGTCTCTCAGTGAGAAAGCATGTGGCCAATACCGATTATGAGGCAGACCCTCCCTCTTCTTCTCCCTGTTTATCTATCATCCTCTTTTCCTGTGGTAACTAAGGGTATTGAATAGGGTCTGTGTCCACCCAGCTCGAGGCTATATTCCCCAGCATACTTTGCTGCAGGGCGTGTTGTAGACAGTGAGACAGAAACAGAAGTGTCTATGCGACTTCTGGGTCATAACTGAGGGAAAGGTGCTCCCTCCCCTATCTCCCATGTCGTCAGCAGCCACGCGGACAGAGCAGCCACCTGCGGACTCAAAATGGAAATCGGGCATTGAGCGTGGTCCACACTGTTCGCTGACAGAGAACTCAATGTATATTTCATTTAAGCCATTATTATTTTCCTTTTCTTTATTGATTTTAGAGGGAGAGGGAGAGAAAGAGAGATAGAAACATTGATGGGAGAGAACATAGACTGGACGCTTCCTGCATGCCCCCCACTGAGGATCATGCCCACAACTTGGGCATGTGCCCTGACTGGGAATCGAACCAGTGGCCGCTTGGTGCAGGGTCGATGCTCAACCACTGAGCCACACCGGCTGGGCTTATTTGCCTTTCTTAATGAGACCAAACCTGTATCCTAAATAATACAGAATTCCCTTTCCAAAATGGACTTCTCCAAATTGAACGGGAAAAAGTTGAGAAAATAGTGAGTGCATTCTGATTGGTGTTTCAGGCTTCTTAGGATGTGTTTCTAGAAGTGGAATCACTGGGTCAAATGGCAGAGCAATTTTACATTTTTTGAGGATCCTCAATACTGTTTCCCATAGTGGCTGTGCAGTCTGTGTGCCCACCAGCAGTGTACTAGAGTCCCCTTTTCTCCACACCCTCGCCAGCACTGGTTGTGTGATGATTTGTTGATGGCGGCCATTCTCATAAGTGTGAGGTGATCCCTCATAGTTGTTTTAGTTTGCATCTCTCTGATGGTTAGTGACATTGAGCATTTTTTCCTTCCTCTGTTCATAGCAGCATGAATAGCTAAGATCTGGAAACAGCCCAAGTGCCCTTCAGTGGATAAGTGGATAAAAAAGCTGTGGTACATGTACACAGGATCTTACCCCTCGAGACGGCATGGACAAACCTGGAGAGTATTATGCGAAGTGAAATAAGCCAGTCAGAGAAAGATAAGTAGCACATGATCTCATTTATATGTGGAATCTAAGAAACAAAATAAACTGACGAACAAAATAGACCCACAGACATTGAAACAGGGAACAGACTGACAAACCTCAGAGAGAAGGTGGGAAGGAGGCAGGAGAGCGGTTGACCAAGGAACTTTCATATGCATAAGCCCACACACACAAAGACTAGACGGGGAGGCCGGGGTGGGGTGGAGATGGCTAGAGAGGGGCAAATTGGTGAAATGAGGGACATCAGTCATACTCTCAGCAATAAAGTAAAAATTTTAAAAATAGTGAGTGAAGTTTAATTACAGTAGGGAAGTATAACTAATGAACAAACGCAGGAAGGAGATAAGGCTGTCCAAGAGACAGGAAGTGATGTGGTCACAGAAAGGTCATGAACACCCACCGCACCAATGACAGGTGTCGACTAGACAATCCTGAAGGAGGAGGCTACTTGTCTTCCACAGATCGAAGCTTTGTTTGGGGGTTTTTTTGTTTTTTTTTTGATGGGATGAAACTATCTTGTATATGTTCATATAAAATACTGAAATAGAACATGACTGCATTCTACCCATCACCACACCGAAATGTTGCAAGAGTCACTTCTAGCGTGAATATGGACAGCCACATGAACAGGAAAGACCCCCACAATTCCAACGCGGTGTGTGCCACCGTGCAGAGTCCAGTGGAGAATTGTGGAAGGCTGCAGAATTATCAAACAACATGTGTAAGGGGACTTAATGGAATGAAATAAAAGGAAAAACTGAACCATTATTAATTCTTACAGAGAGACGATAACGCTACCGCTGGAACCATTCAGTATAACAAACCATCTCATTATTCCAAATTTTTGTTATAATTTGCTTCTTACACAACTGAGTTGGAGCTGTTTCAACATATTGGCTGTTTATTTGGCTCCTGTCTCAGCACAGAGATGCGTGGCGGACGGCATGCACAGAGATGCACACACAACTCCATTAAAAGAAAACATCTCTTAAATACAACTGCTGTAGGACACAGCAGTGGAGAATTTAAAACAGCGATTTGAAAACATCGCCAGCATTTCAGTCCTGCTGCTAGACTAAAGGGTCCGTTCATTACTACCTGAGTGTTTCTGACAGGCACTTGCTGAGAGGAACAGCAACTGCTCGTCTAATACTGCCGGTATTAGTACAATATACTTCGTAGATACTTGTCTTATTTATGTCAAATTCTCAACACCACTGGAAAGTTGAGAAGCAAAACCACAGTTACTATAATGCCTCTAAAAGTGGGGGGAGGGGTGGGAATGGGAGGAAGGTGTCAATGGGAGGGGGACATCTGTAACAAAATAAATTAATTAAATTTTAAAAAGAAAGAAAAATAAGCAAATAAATAAAAGTGGAATTTTGGGAAAGTTAAGACCTTCTCCCCTACCCCGGATCCACACGATGACTGTTGTACTCGAGTGGAGGTCAGACAGAGAGACAACCCCAACGATGGCTCTCGTGCTTCTGGAGGAGACAGGGCTCAATGCAGACATGTGGTCTGGAGGAGACAGGGCTCAATGCAGACACGTGGTCTGGAGGAGACAGGGCTCAATGCAGACACATGGTCAGGAGGAGACAGGGCTCAATGCAGACACATGGTCTGGAGGAGACAGGGCTCAATGCAGACACGTGGTCTGGAGGAGACAGGGCTCAATGCAGACACATGGTCTGGAGGAGACAGGGCTCAATGCAGACACGTGGTCTGGAGGAGACAGGGCTCAATGCAGACACGTGGTCTGGAGGAGACAGGGCTCAATGCAGACACGTGGTCAGGAGGAGACAGGGCTCAATGCAGACACGTGGTCTGGAGGAGACAGGGCTCAATGCAGACACGTGGTCTGGAGGAGACAGGGCTCAATGCAGACACGTGGTCTGGAGGAGACAGGGCTCAATGCAGACACGTGGTCTGGAGGAGACAGGGCTCAATGCAGACACGTGGTCTGGAGGAGACAGGGCTCAATGCAGACACGTGGTCTGGAGGAGACAGGGCTCAATGCAGACATGTGGAGGCTAGGGAAGAGTGAAAACTTATTTTTCTCTCTTTAGTTTTTCATCCAAACAAAGAGAGTGACAGAAATGGGCTTAGACTTGGTTGCAGTGATCTAGAGAGATGGTGCGGCACCCTGATAAGAAAGTTTATAGGCTGAGAAACATTCCTGATGATTTCACCTTGGAAACGCCAGGGAAATGGACAGGTCCCCAACCCTAAAATGTTACCCAGTGTGCGATCACAAAAGAGATAGATGCAACAGCTGTCGTCTCTGCGTAGATTTATCACCTAGATGTTGACAGTCACAGTACGTCAACTGAAGAAGGGGCAAACTAGACACCAGGACGGCGCTATTCAGGTGTGTGCCAGTACCTGTCCCCAGGACAAGCACACGAGAGAATGACCACGAAGTTCATAAGACAAAGACTAACCTAAATCATCTGTTCTCTCTGGTCTCGCAGGAAACAATAAGTGGACAGAGCAAAATGTCAGGAAACAACCTCCCTGGGATATTTTGGCAAAATATGGAGCCATAAACATATAAAAACAGCTATCGGTAGGGCTTTCAGAACTACGGTTATACAGTCTTAAAACTGAGCCCAATATGAAAAATCTTTAGGAAATCTTGAAAAAACAATAAATAGAACAAGAAGACAAGCTAATTCTGTCCTTTACTATCAGTTTAGCCATTTGTATTCGCATAGAGAGAGCTGGAGCATCGCAGCATTTCGAGGCCCAAACATTTCACTTCCTGGGATGCTCGCTGGTGGCGACGGCGCGGCGGAGCACGGGGAGGTGACCACGGCCTCGCCGCGGGCCAGCCACAGGAAGCACACTGGGGATAAAACAGGCGGTTTTCTTTGTCCACTCAGTTCTGTCTACTGTTCTCTGAACAGACTCAGCTTTGATCACAGACATGTCTGAAGGCAGTTATTCTCGATACTGTCAGGAATTTTAAAAAGTATAGTATAAAGAACAGTCTTGAAAAGTGGCCTGCTCACCTATGCCAACGAAAACGGCTTTGTATCCCTCTGCTTTGAGCTTGCTGAGAGTCAGGTCCTTCACCGAAAGGCTCTTACCGCAAATTACCTGGGAGAAACAACACACAAATAAGGATAACTTTGGCATTTGATGAGTAAAATCTTGATATTCAACATCAAAAAGAACAGAAACTAGATATATATAAAATTCCATATATGTGGAAATACATTTGTGTGAAACAAATGGTCAAGAGACATATGTAGAAATGCTCAACATCACTAACCATCGGGGAGATGCAAATTAAAACAACAATGAGGTATCACCTCACACCTGTCAGAATGGCCACCATCAACAAATCATCAAACGACAAGTGTTGGCGAGGGTGTGGAGAAAAGGGGACTCTAGTGCACTGCTGGTGGGAATGCAGACTGGGGCAGCCACTATGGAAAACAATATGGTGTTACCTCAAAAAAATAAAAATGGAACTGTCATTTGACCCAGTGATCCCACATTTAGGAATATATCCTAAGGAGCCTAAAACATCAATCAGAAAGAATATATGTATCCCCACATTCATAGCAGCATGGAGCCTAAAACATCAATCAGAAAGAATATATGTACCCCCATGTTCATAGCAGCATGGAGCCTAAAACATCAATCAGAAAGAATATATGTACCCCCATGTTCATAGCAGCACTACTTACAAAAGCTAAGATCTGGAAATAACCCAAGTGCCCATCAGCAGATGAGTGGATAAAAAAGCTGTGGTACATGTACACAATAGAATACTATGCAGTGGTAAGAAAGAAAGACCTCTTACCCTTGAGACGACCTGGAGGGACCTGGAGAGTACTATGCTGAGCAAAAGAAGTCAATCAGAGAAAGACAAGTATCACACGATCTCTTATTTGTAGAATATAATGAACACAGTAAGCTGTCAAACAAAATAGATCCAGAGACATGGAAGTAGAGAACAGACTGACAAATATCAGAGGGAAGGGGGGTGGGGGAGAGAAAAACCAAACACATATATGCATGTAAACATAGCCAACAGACACAGACACCAGTGTGATGAAGGCAGTGGTGGGTAGGGGGAAAAGGAGGTCACTGGGGGAAAAGAAGGGGGATCTGTAATACGTTCAACTATAAAGATATATAAAAATAATTTAAAAAAAGAAATATGTCTGTTAGTAGAAAGTTTACATATACAAAATAGTGTGTAAGTGGAACACTAGTGTGCTTTACTTAAGGGCTAAGAGCACTTTTTAAAATAAAGTAGCAAAGAAAAAAATCTAGTGTATTTAAAATCAAGTAGGCGGCCCAACCAGTATGGCTCAGTGGATTGAGCGTAGTCCCATGGACTGAGAGGGACCGGTTTGATACCCAGTCAGGGCACATGCCAGGGTTGCAGGATCGATCCCCAGTAGGGGGCGTGCAGGAGGCAGCCAATCGATGTTTCTCTCTCACATGGATGTTTCTGTCTCTCTCTCCCTTCTTCTCTCTCTAAAAAAAACCCAAAATCAATTAAAACATATTTAACAAAATTAAGGGGGTGGATTCCCATAGCTTAATTAATATGTTCAAGGCACCATGTGGGGGCACTTTAAATGATAAAATGACAAATGAGACCGTTTGTCTCAATGTGTAGTTAAGATCTGTGCAGAAGATGTACATAAATAAATACAACATAAAACAGTGTGATCAGCATAAGTCTACGGAATTCAGAGGATGGAGAGATTCACTCTGGCTAAGGTCATAAAGATGAGAATAAAGACAGGCAGCAGAATTTCAGCAGGACCTCCTAAAGAATGGATAGCATTCAGATAGGGGACATTGTCCAGGGAAGACGAATCAAGTGAGGGAGCAGAGGGGAGTCACCCCTATTAAAAGCCACAATAGTTTGTTCAGTTCCCAGACACGAGCCAATTTTCAGACCTGGAACCTGCCGGAGGGAAGACGGGACCAGAGGTGGCCAGGACCCAGGAAGAAGGGCCCTGCAGACTCGCTCTGCAGTGATTACCCCAGACCTTCTCCAAAGGAAGCCAAGGCCATCTGCCAAGGTGACTGTACACCGGGGAAAAGAAAATAATCACACATTTCAAGGACATCAGACACAGACTCTTCAGAGTCACTGGAGGACGGGACCTACAGGGATGAGGCAAAGGTGGAGGCTTGCAGCGTCGGCCCCCAGCGGGCCCGCGAGCTCACAGACCCAGGTGCCTCTTCCCCCTCTTCCACCGCAACATCCAATGTTAGACTTGCCAGGTGAAGCCACCCCCACCTGGGTCTCTGGTCTGTGCAGTCCGAGGTTGGAAGGAGAAGGGCTGGACCAGCAGCATCTTCAGGCTCAGACCCACTGAAAAGGTAGGTTTCTGGAGTATAAAGAGCAAAGCAAAGCAAAGAGGAGAGAAGGTAGGGAAGAGGATGACCAAGCCCGTATCACAGAAGGACGTTCTGCTCTCCTCAAACACTAATTCTACTCTTATATGGGCAGGCAGAGTACCTTTTGGAAGTTTGTAAGCAGGGGACAAGCAAGGGGAGATTGAACCCCAAATTCAGAACTCTGGAACATATCAAATGCCACAGAATAAATTACAGCATTAAGTAAACAAGTACTATTGACAGTGTTTGATAACAAGTATGGAATAATGTTACTACTGTTAGAAGGAGCAAAGCTAGATGCTACTAAATGTATCTAATAGCGAGGCTTTAGAATTTTAATATAGTGTAACATTTTAAGAATAGATATTTTTTTTATTAGACTCTCTTTGATCATTAAGAAAGATGGAAAGTTCTACTGTGTACTTTATGAAATAAGGCACCTTAATACCAACATATAATAAAAATTAGATGGAAAAGAAAATTATAGGTCCGAACATTCTAAATAAAGTTAAGCCAATCATCAAAGAATGCACTTTGCAAGTTGAGAAATGGAATGCCTTGCCGTGAGTTAATGAGTGGAAGTGATCCTCCTAAACTTCAATTTTAGATTTAGTTGATCTACTCTGTCAGCAAAATTATTCAAGAAAGATCTCCCATCCTTCCTGCAAAGGTGTGTGTGTGGGTGTGTGTGTCTGTGTGTGTGTGTCTGTGCATGTCTGTGTGCATGTCTGTGTGTGTGTGTGTCTCTGTGCATGTGAGCATGTCTGTGTGTGTGCATGTGTGAGTGAGCATGTCTGTGCAGGTCTGTGTGTGTCTGTGTATCTGTGTGTGAGAATGTCTGTGTGTGTGTGTCTGTGTGTGAGTATGTCTGTGTGTGTGTCCGTGTGTGAGAATGTCTGTGTGTCTGTGTGTGAGCATGTCTGTGTGTGTGTGTCTGTGTGTGAGCATGTCTGTGTGTGTCTGTGTGTGAAGCATGTCTGTGTGTGTGTCTGTGTGTCTCTGTGTGTGAGCATGTCTGTGTGTGTTTGCAGGCACACATGCACAGCAGTTTAATTCAGCAGTGGCAGCATGTGCTTTGTCAAATGAGAACGAAGACATCCCAACCCTTCCACTCCAGCAAAGTGAACATGTCCCTGAATTTGTTACATGCAGAAAAGAGACATTTTGTGTTTCTATAGCCTTCTCTACCATAGTAGGCGACTGTGTCCAATTGGGGGAGGAAACAAGTTCAGTTTCACTTTTCTGTATCAAAAACTGGAAAGACAAGTAGCGTAACTCTTGGTGGTAATCCACTGGGGTTGAGACCATAAGGACTGTGCTACTGTGGGCAAACATGGAGGGCCAGATGGAGCAGCCCTCACTGGCCAGGAGCTGCAGGTGGACAGAGACAGTGATACAACACTCTCTAGTGGACGACAGGCACCAGGACCCTTCCTCTCTGTGCTGGGTAACTTAGTACATTTCCCTTTGATAAACCTCCGACTCCGAAACACTCACCATCTCATCAATAACCTCTCTCAGTCAGAAAGAAAGGGGAGAAAGATTTAAAAAAAAAAAAAAAGGTTAGAACTCTGCTCTACTGCATATTGAGAACTTGGGAAACTGCCACAGGACAATGGTGAACATCAGTAACATTCCTGGGGCAGGTACACTGTGAACTCCCAGCAATATTTGTTAAATGATGTTAGAAAAATCACATGGTGGCATTTTGTCATCCTTTTGTTCCTTTGAAACCCTGTACTTTTATATTTGTAATATTTTGCCACCTTGATATTTGTAGATGTGGATTATATTACAGGTGTATTATACCTTTCTTTGATGGTTTTAGTGACACTCAAATTTCTTAGCTAAATTCAGAATAAAATTCATTTCACTTTAATCTCAGCATAGAAGTTATTGCTAATCCAATAAAAAGGCTGAATATAAATAAGCCCTGATCAAAAGGTCCATCTACCATCCAGTTTGGATTTGCCAACTTTCTTCATACAACCAAATGTATCCCTACATAGAATAGTATTTATAATGTAGGACAAAGGTTTACAACAGCTTTTGGAGTGGAACTTGTTCTTGCATGAACTATGTGACACCCACTATAGAAATACACAAAAAACAATGTACATCCTCCTCAGGTGTTTTTGATAGAATATTTAGCTAAAGAGATAAAATGTTTCCAGAATCTCTAAGACAGGACATCAGCTGGAATAGTTTTTAAAATATTTAGCTTTCTTTAGAAACAACAATTATTTTGTCAACTATTATTGCTCATGCTTGTCTCCTTCTAGTGCAGATATAAGATTTTATATTAGTTTCCTAATAGCATACTGTATTAATGAAAATGCTTGCTTCAGATAACCATAATGGACAACAAGACAATAAAGAGAGGTCATTAAAAAGAGACTTCGGCTAGGTTTTTTTTTTTTTAATTAATTAATTAACTTTGTTACAGATGTTTCTTCTCCCCCCCCCCCCCCCGCCACCACCACCACTGATACTCCCCTTCCCCACTCCCCACCCTGTCCCCAGCTTTGTTGTCCATGTCCATTGTTCATGCATATGTGAATATAAGTTCTGTGGTTTATCTCTCTCCCACCACCTCCTCTTCTGGGGATTGTCACTCTGTACACGACTTCCACATCTCTGGGACTACCCAATTCCTCAGACTGTTATGTTCATTATATTTCACAAATAAGTGAGATCATATGATACTTGTCTTTCTTTGATTGGCT